CCCTAGGGGCAATTCAAAGGCTCACTGAGTATTTAATATAATGGAGAGTTATGAACAATTTATACATTTCCTACGGTAAAAAGAGCTGTTATTAGAAATAATGCAAGAGAGGAATGCTCGTAGAAAACTGTACATGATGTAAGTTAATAAATGTATTTTACAGCTCAGTGCACTCTCAATGCAGCTGCTTATTTGGAACTTGACATCTGCACAATAGAGCTCTTAAACTTCATAGAGTGGAACATGATATTCAAGAAGTACATCACATAATGAATATTTGGAAATCACTTTAGTTTTTGGCCAAATCAAAGTGTTACTGATTGAATATATGTTATAATCTATGAATATATATTTATTAGTAATAGCAGGGTAAATCAAATTTAGCAGCAAATCAGGACCAAAAATAAAAACACGTTTAAACATTTTTTTGGCAAAACACTACTAACTGCAAGCTACCATGGTGAACAAGCCAGATTAAAAGACAGCCAGTTTCATGACATTGAAAACTCTGGCACTTAAGGCTCTATATGCCTCACTAACCCATGAATTTTGCTTCGTAGCACAGCCCTCTGTGTTCAGTGATACTGGTGTATTAAAATTTTATGTGAGAAACAACCAGAAACACAACAAAAGGCAAAGGCTGTCAACAACTTTCTGTTTTGTTTCTGCTGTTGCTCTCTGCAACTCTCTGAAACCTCTCAACTATGATACTGTGAAACACCTGCAACATGATACAGTGATGAAATCCTATCTTACTTTTCCTAACCACCACTATTGTTCCAGAGTGACTAGAAGGTACTATTTGGAGAGAATTTAAATTTATGTACAAACATTCGACGGTGGCCTGTTTTTATCAAATATGAACATTGTGCCACACAATAGTCAATTGATGCAGCAGACTTGAAAAGAGTTTAGTTTCCATGTTTGTTCAGAGAAACTCAATACTTCTGTTTTCTACTTTCAATCAGTTTTCGCTCTCAGCCCACGCACCACCCACACAGACGAGTTCATCTGAGGGCCTCAGGGCTCCATCACAAACACACACATATGCATATAGACAGACCCTTGAATTGCTGCTGATGCGCGTGAGCAGCGTGTCCAGGATGGTGTCGTTGTCGTGGCGATGCAGCAGGATGAAGCGCAGGAAGGTTTTGAGGAGGGAAGTCTCCGTCACACTGCGCAGGAAAAGATCCAGGTAGGCGGTGCTGGCGATCATCTCATCCACCGACGACTACAAACAGACACACACAAAGAAATCTGAATTAAAACTGCCAAAGAGGGCCAAGATTGAAAACAGGCAATAACAGAATTTCTTCAAACATTGTGAGATCATTTTTGACTCATGCTGTGACTCATCTGTTGCAGAACAAAGCAAATCCTCAAAGTTGTATGTCTGCTGCTAATTCACTTCAAACAATGAAATGTCAACAAGTAACTAAAGAAAATCCCCACCCAAGTGGTCAATGTGTGGTCCACGTCATCCTGTTTTAATTACAGGGTCAGTATGCACAAATCTCAGTATACACAAGTCGCAACCACGTTAATGGTTTGTGGGGGTTACAGCTTCACATAATGGAACCCTGGGAACTATTTCCAACAAAGACAGATCCGGAATAAATTTTGTCTTCTTTCGTACCTTATGCAGGGCAGGACCCATGACGGGTACAAGGAAGCCATTGTGGAGGTAGTCCAGAAGCTGAGAGCGGACCAGGGGATGGGCGACCTGCACCACAGCGTTGCAGAACTCGAGCGAGTTCATGAAGAGCACGAGCGACGACACGCCCATCCAGTCCTCCCGCCGCAGAGCGTGCCAGTCATCCCCTCTGACTTCAATCTTCCTGGGCAGAGAGGAGTAAAGAGCGCTGAGGCCCGTCGCCAACACCTGGGGACAGGCGGAGAGGGTACAGGTGAGACAGCTGATCTTCCACAGCAGGTCAACAGGTCGCTGAAGGCTCTTAGGTAAAAATGTGTGTGACTCCTACAAATTCAGTCTTTTGTTTTGTTTTTTTTTAGCAGATTTTCAATGATAGATTATTTGATTTATTTAAAAAAGTAAACAAAAAGCCCTGCATAATAAACAGAATCTGCAAACACAACTAAATTATTAATCAAATGAATTATTACCATGTTTAGGAAAAATTTATTGTGTAGTCATCTGCAGCCACATGACAAACTGTTCCATTGTGCTTTTGCCATAATTACTAACTGCTGCAAAGTTTGTGGCTAAAAAAGGTTTTACAAAGTGTTTAAAAACGCTATAAAAGTTAAACAATTTCAACACAAAGACAATAGGACAGTCTGATAATAATCACAATCACCCTACCCGCATTTTCAACAGCTCATTGCCAGGTCAAGGGGTGTAAATGAACACAAGGACTTTAGAGTTTGTTTGGACAGAAAAGCTTTACAGTCATCATGTAGTGTTTTGACAACAGCAGATGACATTTATGAAACTATATTTTTTTGTTTTTTTTCATGCTGAACCACTGAAAATATGAGAGAGAGTATCCTGGGCCTGTTGACCCAACAAAGCATAAGCAAACAATTTGTTAATCCTCTAACCTCCAAAACCCACTGATGGGTTTAAAAGCATGTTGTGTTGGGAAAAGAAAAAATCATCAGGTTTCTAACTTTCTGGATTTCCTTGAACTTCATCTGCGACGTGTGGTTCCATCAGGAAGCTGACGATCCTCGTTTTTAATCAAATCATTTCATTCTACAAGTCTAATTTAAAAATCTGCGAAAAAATGAAGTGTTTGCTCTAACCTGACTTTGTAAAAAGCAAAAATAATGTAGTACCGCTCAGCACGACTAGTAAGCCATTAGTGACTCAGCGGCGATCAGTTGTGTGACAAAAATTCTGGGACTTTTTGTCTGAACTGGGCTGAACTGGAGGATGTGTTTACACAGTGCCGAGAGGAGCTAGTGTCATTTTATCTGAAGTATTGGTACCACATGTGGGAACTTGGAAAATGTTGTACATGGTGATTTCAGGGTTTTTTCCCCATTTTAGTAAATTAAGTAATGAAAGAAATTCAACTTTTGTTTTTCCTTTTTTAGGATTTATAACCTTATTCATTTTTAAACTGCATCAAAGACACATTTGAGTTCTCTCTACTTCTAAACATGACCGTATTCCATGGAGATTGAGGAGTATAATGCAGCGAAACAGCGAGCAAAAAAATGTGACAGGAGCACCATGCACCAAGAAGCTGGTACAGAGGGTTAATCCAGATTCATCAAAAAAAGAGCTATGTGATAACATTGAAGGACAAGAGAAAATTGGAGTGTAGGATGTACACTGCTTATGCCATGAGAAGGGTTATATTGTCTAAGGATCTACACCTACATCCAAAAATGTCAACCAGAGCTGATTATAATGTGTGAGAATGCATAGACAGAAAATAGCAAGACTCAGACAGAGAGGAGCATTCGGTCCTTGATGCCACCTCCATCGGACCTTTTCAGCTGTAAGTAGGTCATACTGAAGCAGCTGGAGGGAAGATGAGCAGAAAATAGCTGATCTAGGTCTTTACCACCAGAGCATACAGACAGTGGGAAAAGATAAGAAGTACTGACCACAGCATTAAACTCTCATATACAAGACATATGCATCTCCCATGCCGTTCACTCTCGTAATGCAGTTTTAAAGCTCAAATGTGACCAGATTTTCACTGCCAAGGTTGACATTTGTTGTGAGCATACACGCTCTGATTCATATTTTACAGAGTCAGCAGGGTTTGAGTTCAATGTTATTCAGCATATACAGCTTAAAGCGCGTAATAAGTAAAATATGGCTCTTCAATTACATCTAGTGGCAGCTGTAAGAAACTGCAGATGGGTGACAAATTAAAGGAAAAACATAAATGTAGTGACTTAGTAAGATGTTGGGCCACCACGTGCTGCCAGAACAGCTTTAACACATCCTAGTATTGGTTCTCCAAGGCTCTGAAATTCTACTGGAGGGATGGAATGTCAGTTTCCAAAAGATATTCCCTCAAACCATTCAGTCACCCTTTATGTCCTATGGATGCTTATGGAGACCACTCCCATCTGCACATCTGATCACTCTAAAAACTCTATACTGATTTGCAATGACCAATTCCTGTAAGTGAACCCAAACCAAGGCAGCAACATGCCTACTACAGTATAACAGAACCATCAGACCTCCATGTTAGAGGGGTCAAAGGTTAAGGTTTTTCCTTTAATTTGTCACCTATCTGTACGACAACACGGATTGGCACAGCTCCTTGGTGTTTACTTTTTCCTCTTGGCAACAGACAATAGTTCCTGCTACAATCCCTAAAAGAAACAAGTCCCACCCTCAAGTCATCGTGGCGTTTTATTTTAGACAATCATAAATCAAAATTTTGCTTTTGAAATAGACAGTAGCCAACACTGCAGTCCTGTACAGGTAATACAACAACAAACCCTAATCAGGATGGACCAGGATGCTTCAAAAACCCAGTCATAACCAGAGTACTAACGCACATGTACTGTAAATGCACTCAGACAGGGAGAACGGTATCAGACAGGAAATGCTATTAAAAGCAGATTATTTTTTTATGTTTTAAAACATGTCTGGAGAGGATCATTTAAAGTAGACTCAGTCTAATCGCCCTGCTGTGCTCTCCGGTCTCCCGTGCTTCAGTTAATCCTAAATACTGTAAACATGTGATGCTGGGTGAGGTGGTTATTTTCTAAGATATCTGCAGGAAGCCTTGAGTTGAGACGGGGCTGATAGAAAGTAGATAAGGATGAGTGGTCTGTCAGAGTACATAGTCATCTCCTTCCTTTTCCATTATCGCACACCATCACTGATGCATCAAAATTAGACCGCACGCACACTCAGCCTCCTCTTTCGTAATAGCCGGGCTGCAAAGCAAGACGGGATCCCACATTATAAGCTCAACTCTCACATCAGTGAAATGCAGGTCATGATCACATGGAAAAGTCAAAGCTGACCGATGAGCTAAGCTAAGAGTTATGTAGCTGTGTTATATTGTTTTTATCTTCTCTCTTAAGGAAGCTCAGTGGGACTGGATATGAAAAAAAAAAACTAAAATAATGAGGATGTTAAACAGTCAATCCCACACTGCTGGATCTCAGCTTTTCTGTGGAGTCGTGAGCTATTAACAGTTAAACTAAATAATTAATGAGTGCTTGAGTCAGTCAGGAAGTTCAGCTGTACAAGCTTTCCAAAGAGGTTTTGATTTGAGTCCCATTTTGCCTCCACAGACGCAATTAAAAGTAGTTAATTGTATTTATAAGAAATGCACAAATCAAATAAAGACCAAGTGGGAAATAACATAGCAAAAACATAGCTGCATTCGCTTTTCTAACAAAAACCAGACAACAGGACACAGATGCAAACTCATAAAGCCCGTCACCTGCAACTGCCTTCTCTACAAAAACACCAGTTTTCAAGAGTGTCGTCACTCACCGGACAGAAGTAGGAGTTCTCAGCGATGTATCGTGCCACGGCTTCATGACTTGCTGAGGCTGCCATTACCAGCAGCAGAGCATCCCGGGCCTGTTGTCCAATCGCTCCGTCCCGGTGGATGAACGGCACAAGGAGGGAGAAGATGAGCAGGTTGGTGGAGCCCTGCTGGGCTGGTGCAGCCCGGAACAACATCTCTAGAACCACCGGCTGCCGGGCCATGGACACGCACACCTGGTGGATGACAAATCGTGCACCATCAATACAAGTTAAAAATTCAAATTGTGAAAGGTGAAATTAACTGGAAATTATACTAAAAACTAAATTGTCAGGAATAAAAACCACATACAGATTTTATTATTAGGCAATGAAATTAGCAATAATAATCACAGAGATGTCGCGACAACTTGACTTACTTATTTTCTATTTTATTACATGTGTAGGGTCAGTGTTCCCTCTACGTTCATTTAGGAGCAGCGGCCTGCCATTCCTAAATCCTCGTTGCCGCTCCTTCATGTTTGTTTTTTTTTTTGTTTGTTTGTTTTTTTGTTATTGTCACAAATACATCAATTGTCAAAAAAAATGACAAGCAAACTGCAAAAGCAGCGTGAGCTGTAAATTAATATAATGAAGTCTTTGTTTCCTATTGATCCGCTCCTTTAGGACTGTCTGGTAAATAAACTAGAAAAATCTGTGTATGTTGATATTTCAGGGTTCCTACACATTTAAAATTCCAAATTTCCATACTTTTTCCAGACCCTAATTTCCAGACTTCTCAAAATTCAAATAGTGAACTCTGTTCACTTGATGTTGTCGGACTTGGACTCATGCTGGGTTTAGTCAAAAATGCTGTGACTCTCAGTGCAGAGGATGCGGTGACAAGACAAACGTGTCTTTTCCCCTGCATATGACTCGATTTCACACAAAGTCTGCATCTAGCTTTCTTTATCCATTCGGGATCCTTATCCAACCAGTCTTTATATATGGGATTTATGAGCCAGTCGTCAGAGAATTTACATTTACCCATTATGAGTTCTGTCAATGACCATACAAGACATTTTGAATAGCTCGCTCACAAACTTTGTGGACATCACCTGTCTGTCGAAGCAGCAGTGAAACTTGACGACACTTGGGCGGGCCAATGGGTTGGAAGAGGATAAGAGCAGAGGGCGGGCATTCAACTTGTCAATCTGCCCAAATGTTTTCTGGGATGTGTAGCCATGGATCTATTATATGAACGCGTAGCCTACTGTGTGCTCTCACACAAACATTTTAGCTGCACTGCTTAGGGCCTTAAAAACAGATCCATCTATTTCATTTTTTACATATTCATAATTTTATGTTGTAGAAAATAGAACAGTGGTAATAGTCTTGGAAACATGAATATTTTTCCATGCAATAGTTTCCATTTTCCAAACTTTTCCAGACCTGGAAATTTATCAAATCAAATTCCATACTTTTCCATACTTTCCATACTTGCATAGGAACCCTGATATTTGTAGATTCTCTAGTTTTCGTGGGTCCTAAAAATGACCAGATTGTACTGTATGTACAGTATATACAAGAGAAGAAGGTAGGTTTTTGTGTACCTGGTTGAGCAGCAGCACCAGGCTGTTCTCCAGAGCTGAAGGACAGCCGAGTTCTGGGTCAGCACAGGCTCCCAGCAGCCTCAGCAGGGGGTGGAGGACGGCTGTGTGCTGCAGCAGAGGCTGCTGGGATTGGCCGATGAGCATCTCAAACAGCTTCAGCAGTGCCCCCTGGCTGTCCTGGTCCAGGCCGCGGCGGAGGTGCCACTGAACCAGGCCCTCCAAGATATTCTCGGTGACCACCAGCTCCAGTATGGGGCCCATCGGTGGCACGCTGGCACCGCCATCTAAGCTCTCAGCAGGCCGCTCCTCTGCCAGCAGACACAACATCTGGTCGGTGTGATTTCTCACTGCTGTCAGGTCGTCACTGGAGGATGACGTCTCATGCTGCTCCAACACCCAAGAGACCTGAGAAAAAGGAGGTGAGAAGTGAGGTTTTCGTGTAATATTTAACACTTATTACACTTGCATAAAGAGTTACAAAGCAGAAATGTGACCAACATTTCTCCATCCATCCACTATCTATACACTGCTTAATCCTCACTTGGGTCACGGGGGGGCTGGAGTCTATCCCAGCTGACTTAGGGCGAAGGCAGGGGACACCCTGGACAGGTCGCCAGTCTATCACAGGGCTACACTTAGAGACAGACAACCAAGCACACTCACATTCACACCTACGGACAATTTAGAATCACCAATTAACCTCAACATGTTTTTGGACTGTGTGGGAGGAAGCCGGAGAAGAGAGAACCAAAGAGAACCCACGCTGCACGGGGAGAACATGCAAACTCCACGCAGAAAGATCCCAGTGCCCCCACCGGGATGCGAACCAGCGACCTTCTTGCTGCGAGGCAACAGTGCTACCAACTGCACCATCTTGCAGCCCCACCAACATTTCTCATGAATCCTTACTGGTCTCTTATGCACTTAAATTCAGTCCTGAGCAAGTTTTGCTTTAACTGTACAGACAACAGTGGAATTACTTGGCTGGTGAAAGTCTTTGTTTTTTTGTTTCATTGTCAAAGTATGTGAACAGAATCCATTGTTCAATGTCAGAATCTTTGTCCCCTTAGATGGGGTGAAAATGTGTTGGGCTTCATTTTCTAACTTTAATAATAAATTCATAAATTATAACATGCATGATGGATTTATAAAAGCAAAAAAACAAAATTCAAATATTTAAAAATAAAATGCAACAACATGGCATCAAGATAATGTGAAGAAAAAAAAAAACTGTCAAATGAGCAAAGATTTCACAACAGTTATCAAGAGTTCTTCCAGTCAGCGTGACTGCAGCAATAATGAACTTGCAGATCTGCCAGCAGCTTGTGCAGATAAGAGTTGTGCTTCTTTGTGTTTCAACATCTCAAAAAATGTGTGGTGAATGTGTGAGCTACAACAAAATGAAACACGAAGTTGCTAGAAACCAATTTGGTGAATGTTTCACAACAGACTGTTTGCAAAACATGTTCTCCCACAAAACCACTCACTATATTCTTTAATCTTCTGGTATCAACTTACATGTAACGTGACAACTGACAACACTTGACTTTTTAAAAACTATAAAAACACAACGGACTGATAGTTCATGCTACCCTAAGCACATGCATGTTAGATGCAGTATTAGGTGTCATGCTGCTACATAGTAGAGGTGGAGACGTGCTGTGGGTATGCTGCAATCCATTTACAACATTTTCTCATATTAAGAGTACTATCTGCTTCTTCTATGCTGAATTCCTCCTTGAACACTTACTCCCTGTGAAAGTCTGGCCTCGAAAAGGTACATTTGCAAAGCTTACACACCCTGCAATCAATCCACCCATGTCACTCTGATTTATGTTGCCTCAGAGCATTTCAAGCGTCAGGCCGTGACAAGGCTCTGTAACCTATAAAACTTTCAGTCAGTGATTGGACATCATCCAGTCATGCTGCTAAAGTACACTGACTGACTGCTCTCGTCAGCAACGACACAGCCAACTGAATGTGTGAACATCTACACTTGGTGTCTGGATGGATAATCATTCACTAAAACAAAGACAGAGAGCCTTAAAATTTAAACTGGCCTCTCAGCCATTTGCTGTTGGTGTTTACTTTTCATCTGTGTGCTGCTCAACAAAGAAAACAAAATCAATAAATATTTTCTCCAACACTGAAAATCGCCTCGATAATGCCAGATTTAGTGCTAAAATGACTGAGCAGGTAGCTGATCAACAGAAAATAAATGTCTAAATAATCAAAGAAACTGTGGAAAACTGGATATATCACATTTCTTCACAATAACTTTACACAATTTACTACAGTTTGCATGTTTGCAGCTCTACAACCAACATGGCATTTCATGTAAACACACAAACTTTTCCATACTTCTCAATAGTTCAGATAG